GGCCGCGCGGGTCGCGCCCCAGCCCTGCGCGGGGGCGGAGGGGAGCGCGAGGCCTCCGCGCCGCGACGGCGGCACCGCGGGCAGCGGCACCGGCAGCACCGCGTTCAGCACCGCGGGCAGCGGCGTCTTCAGCACCGCGTTCAGCACCGCGTTCAGCACCGCGTTCAGCACCGCGGACAGCGGCGTCTTCAGCACCGCGTTCAGCACCACGGACAGCGGCGCGGTCAGCACCGCGGACAGCGGCGTCTTCAGCACCGCGTTCAGCACCACGGACAGCGGCGCGTTCAGCACCGCGGACAGCGCCCGGGTCGGGGGCCCCGTGACCCCCCGGGGTTGCCCCTCGCCACCCATTGAATCCCATGGGATTTTGCCGCACGCTGGGGCCTGTGGCCACTGCAGAATCCCATCACACGCTGCTCCTCTGCACTGCCTTCAGCTGGTCACACTCATGGGCCGACACGGCCTTAACTGCAGAGAGCTCTTTCTATAGGCACTTTGCACCTGTTCTCAAGGTACACTTGTCTCCATATCCATATTTACTCGCCTGGGCTCTTCCATGCGACATTAGGCATCCATTAGCAACCGCTTGCTCATTAGCCATTGATATTCTCCTTCCTTTTGTGTGCCGTGCTTTAATGCCCTGGAAGAGCCAGCATTTAGGGTTGCTTTGTGGTATTTATATCCCTGGAATGAGCCAGGGACATTCTGTCAACAGGATTATTTCTTCTTTCCGGCATCTCGTAGTAATCTGTTGACCTTAATCACTTGGCGGTGCATTGTAGATGCAAAACATCATATTTCTTTCTAAGTCTGTCTAAATGTCGTATTTCTCACAGGCTTTCTGCTAACCCTAAATTTTCAGTGAAGTAGGTTTGTTAATTGCAGAAGGGTTGAATGCGACTTGTGGCCTCAACAAAACTGCCTGAAATCATTAAGGTCTTGTTTGCTTAATTTGTGACCAAATGTAAGGATCACGTTATAAAAATAACATGGTTAAGGTAAAAACAACCCATTCCCCAATGAAAGTGTGTGCTGTTCCTGCAATACGCCGACAGCAATGGCTCTTTGCAATCATATACATATTTTTTTCTGAGGTTGCCCTCTGGTGGAGGGTTAATGAAGTTTTACAGCAACAAAACACTTCTGCACAAGAAAGCCCAAATATCTTAACACCAAAATTCCCATAATGACACTCTTCTCTGCGTAGAATTTCAATATTTAATTTCCAAAAATGTACAAAACCCGTAAAGTATCACAGTGGCAACTAAATGAAAACTATGTATAATTGGAGTTAATTAGCACCGTAATACACTGTTGCTAACTACATCCCATAACTACAGAATGTGATTTTCAGCATAGGGTTCCTTATAGCATCTTTAATGCCACTGCACCACTGAAAAAGGCTTTCCCCAGTACCCACAAGCTTATGCAGTTATATAACCAAATCCTCCCCGTGTTTCATGGCTCTGTCATGCCAATGCAGATGCTCAAAAGAAACTTGAATTAATAGATTTTTTTTTCTCTTTCTGAAGGTCAGAAGGAATAGGAAATGATTTAGTAAGGAAGAAATGGGATTATATTTGGAATAAAAAATCCAATCGGAAGAGAATCGCGCACTTTGTCTGAACTGGCTGTTGAGGTTGTAAAGTCTGTGGGGCGGCAAATCTTAGTGTTTATTCACACATTATCTACAACAAGGAGCCCTATTTTTGTAGGAAAAAAGTGTTATTGCTGCTGCTTCCCCTACTAAGTAGAAGCAATAAATATTACTGAAATTCTAACATTTAATAAGTAAATGATGACCAATCTGGGAGAGATAAATAATTTATCCTGTCGCATAAGAATGGATTTAAGGGCCAGATGAGACTTTCCTGGACAATAGGCTCTTGCTGGAGGAAAAGGGGTTAGCTCTTAATTATATAAAATATGAAAAATGGCAAATATCTCTAAGGTAGTAAAATGCTTTAGTAATTAGACTGCTGCTGTAGCTATTTAAAATAGATTTTTTATATCTATTGCCTACAATAGTCAGAATTTCCAGCATCTCTTCTTGGTCTAACCCAACTGCCTAGATTTCAATTCAGAAATTAGTAAGTGTGGCAAAAAAGCTAGTGCCTTTACTGTCATAAAAATATGCAGACTTGCCAGCTTTTAAAACAACTTTGTATACTAGTTCTTCAGTGTGGTCTTAATTAAGTCATTTCTGGAAAAAAACCCACAATGATGTGTTATCAATATTATAGTTTCAAAAACATTGCAAAATGCTCAAAGAAATTCACCCAGAAGTCACCCGGTAAAAAACACAGCTCTGAGAAAATTCTAGCAATTTCTGTGGGATCATTGTACAATCTTTCTTTCTTTCTTTCTTTCTTTCTTTCTTTCTTTCTTTCTTTCTTTCTTTCTTTCTTTCTTTCTTTCTTTCTTTCTT